AGAAACTTCCAGGACTCTGCTTCCTGGGCTGACCTCCACACTTCACTTTCCCATCAGATCCATTTCCAGGCAAAGAAACGAAACCCTCCTAGACGGGAGGCTGGGCTCTGGACAGCTGCTGCAGGAAGACCGTCTCCTCCCCACCACGCGCCACTCCACAGAAGGCAGCCCGCGAACGTCTCCCCTGCAGCCTCTGCACCCCATCACCCCAGGAAGGCACTGGCAGAGCCTGAGAGCAAACGGAGGCGACTGGCACCCTGCTACTTCCGGGTCTGGCTCCAGCAGCTTGCTGAGCTGGGAGCGGAGCACAGGAGGGCTCTGGCTGCCGTCACGGGGGAGCACACACTGGGCGGGCGGGTGGACCGCACCTGCTGACCGTCCTGCAGCCCTCGAGTCTGCAGTCCCAGAAGAAGGTGCAGGAAGGGTCCCTTCCTGGCTCGCAGGCAGCCACCTCCTCTCTGGCTTCTCACACACAGAGGCGACGGGCCCTCTCCCTCTTCTTACATGGACACCTGTCCTATTGGAGCAAGGCCCCACCCTTGAGGCCTCAATGACCCTCAACCATCTCCACAACAGCAGTATCCACAAACAGGCACACTGTGGGGTGTGGGACCCCAACATTCGGATTTCAGAGGGCCAGAAAGACTTCCAGTGCAGCCTGTGTGGCCTACAAAGCTCGTGAGGTGATGGCTTTGTTTCTTTCAGGATTTACTCATTCATTTGAAAGGCAGATTTACAGGGAGGGAGGGAGGGAGAGAGAGAGAGAGAGAGAGAATGAATGATCTTCCATCTGCTGGTTCACTCCCCAAATTGCCACAACAGTCAGGGCTGGGCCAGGCTGAAGCCAAGATTCCATCCGGGCCTCCCATGAGGTGCCAGGGGTCCAGGTCCTCTGGCCGCCTTCCGCTGCTTTCCCAGGCACATCAGCAGGGAGCGTCACAGGAGCCAGCCCCAGAGGTGAGGGTTCACGGCCACCTTGCAGGGGAGGCAGATGGAGAAGGCAAGTCTGACCAGGCAGTAACAGAAGCAACTTGTGGAGTAACTGGTAGGGGAGAAAGGCTAGGCAAACCAGGGGCTTGACAGGAGGCCCTGTTGGTATCTGGGGTAGTTTTTTTCTAGAGTTGAGTTTCCTCAATGTGAGAGACCACCCAATGCTACACAAGACATGTGGCATCACTGGGTTTTGGTGGTTGGTGGTAGGTGCCAGGAGCACCACACACGTGGGCTTTCTAACCCCAGAGGCCCCACCCTCCCGATTCCATCCTTGCTCCATGTGGGTGGCACCACCCTAGGCTGAGGACCACTGGATGAGAAACTCCTTGGAGGCTCCTATGAACTTTACCATTGCAGTTTTGTGCAAGGATGTCCCATGGCCATGTGAGCAGAGCCCCAGATCTAAGCAACCAGTGACGGGCTGTCCTCCAAGTTAGCTGTGGGCCTGAAATCCATGGCTAGGGATCCAATGTTGGAACTGCCCAGGGCTCGGGCGTGGGCCTCCCCTCACTTCAATCTGTGTTCATTCCCTTGGGAGTGATGTCCAGCCTCATGATATTTTTAAAAGCAATTATTTACTTATTTTCATTTTATTTGAAAAGCAGAAAGACAGGTATCTTCCTCTACTAACTCGCTCCTCATATACCTGCAGCATCTAGGACTGAGCTAGGCTGAAGCCAGGAAGCCAGAATTTCATCTCAGTCTCCCAGGAGGGTGGCAGGGACTCATCCCACAGTGCACAGGAACAGAAAGCTGCATTGGAAGTGGAGTGGTGACAACTGAACCCAGGCACTCTGATATGGGACGCAGGCATCCCAAACAGTGACTTAAGTCGCTGGCACCAAAGGCCCACCTCGGTCTCACAACGTTAAACACCATCCATGTGTTGCCCATTTGCAAATGCATGTTCCCACTAAGATCTTTCTCGTCAATACCAGACATGTATCTGCCCACCTACACAACAGTCCCCCTACGCTGCATTATTAACATGTCCCAATTTCAACTCCTGCCGTGTCCCCTAAACCTGCTCCACTCACAGTGCCTCCCGCCCTGCACTGCGGAGAGGTGACTCTGCCCTCCTCCTTTGTTGCAGCCAGGATCCTCGGAGCCATCCCCAGGGCCACACCCCTCCCCCAGAACTCCCCACCCTCCCCTGCTTGCTTTTCCTCCATCATTTCCGTCACCACTCACACACCAGGATTTTGAGCCGCTGTATTCCAGGTCGTTATTTGGGGTGGGGACCAAGGGACTGCTGTCCTAGAAAAGTCAGTCAGCAGGGACCTTACCAAGGCGGTTCTTGAGGAAGTACCTCAGAGGAGGAACTAGCGCTTGTAAACACGATCGGTCCTCATGGGTTACAGGTAGGGTAAGGCTGTGTCGCCTTACACAGAACAAGGGCCACAGAGCTGAGGACTGGAGAGTCTGGAATTTCAACCTAGGTCTATGGGACTCCGCAGACTTTTGTTCTCAATTAACCTCCACCTGCAGTGCTTTCGGATTTATCACAACAAAGACTGAATTCTACTGTGCAAGCATGTCTCCATGTGTACACAAAGGGAGACACTGTAGAGACGGGAAAAAAAGATTTTTATATAGGAAGGTCAAATTCCTTAATAGCTCTCTACTAAATATACTGGGGGGAAATCTCCTTAACCCGACATTCAACAAGAATAGTTATTCTTGAGCTTGTACTTTGAGGACATTAAATTGGTTCTCTTCCAGGCATCCAACTGACTCTGTACAGACTTTAATTTAGCTCGCATTCAACAAATGTGGAAGCTAGCCCAGCTGCTCCTTTAGCACATGCAAATGAACACGACACAGCGGCTGGAACTAAAATTAAACCCACCTAACACACATCCCACCATGATCTGAATATTCACACATCTGTTTGGATAAACTCATATCTCAAAAAACACCGAACAAATGTATATATAGTTGTGGAGACTTGAATGGGACTCGTAGTGGAGGCGGCAGAAGAGAAACCCAGCAGAAGCCTGGAGAGGTGAAATCGCAGGAGGAAAACTAGCTCTTACATCAAACAGGGAGGGGCAAGCATTCGGTAGAGTGGTGAGGCTGCCATTTGTGACACTCATATCCTGGATCAAAGCATCTGGGTTCAAATCCTAGCTCCCCTTCCAATTCCAGCTTCCTGCGAATGTGCACCCTTGGAGGCACGGGGTGTTCGCTCAGGTAGTTGGGTCCTTGTCACCCATGTGAGAGAGGCCTGGATGGAGGTCCAGGTCCCTGGCTTCAGCATGGCCCAGCCATGTGGTAGAGGTGGTCAGGTGAGGGAAGGAGGGCAGTGAGGACACACATAACCGGGAACATCTAAGGAAAGCCAGAGACCCTCCCCCCAGAAATGCACACCTGTAGCCACCTGAGACCACACACCCCACTTCCGTTCAGAACTCACATGGGGTCCCCAAAGCTCATGTCCGGCTCCCTGGGGCCTGTGGCTTTCAGGCGAGCAACTGCTATTTTAGGTATGGGATTTAACAGTTCACGAAGGTGACTACAGCCAGGAAGCCAGGAGCGCAGCATTTGAGAGCGAATGGAGCTGCTTGTGGGAAGGACCTTACTGCTTGATAAGAAACAGCAGGCAAAGATCACCTCCCAGAGTGCATTTGGAGAAACGATGAGATTTCTAGCACCGTGTGCTACACATATGTGTATGTATGCTAACGGGTATCATTCCTTAAGTCACATGCACACTCTCTCCCAGAGAACTCTGAAGCTACCTGCTTCTGAAGCACTAGCTGCTCTGAGTGAACAGCATTGAGTAGAACCCTCAGGTGTAAGGGAAGGGAGCCCCTGGCAGCGGATCAAGTTCCCTGGAAGTGGCAGTGAGGAGAAAAATCCTCTTTCAGCACACGCTAGGGCTTACACAGCAAGCAGGACGCCGATGCGTGTGCACACGCAGCTTTGCTGCCTCCATCTGTATGTGTGGGTCTCTTCCCCCTTGCCTTCCTCCTGGATCCCTGACACATGCAGCCTGGGTCCCTTGCGGCCTCTCTGGGAGCCGGGGCTTGGTTTTTGCACTTACCTCCTGCCTGGACATCCCTGCTGGGGGGCTGTGCTGACCCTTCCCCTCTCCCGGGGGTCCCAGCAGCACTGACACAGGGCAGGCGGATGGCCCAACCTCGGGCAGCTGCCTGCCCTTGCTGCCCGAGCAGCCGGAACAGGATCCCAGGAGGCGAGCACAGAGTCCGGTGGGTGGTGGATGTGAAATCCACACTATGTAGTAAAGGAATGACTCTGAGAGTAACTCGCAGGGCGGGAGCACCTAGCAAGCGGCCAGGAGAACAGCTGCCCTCAAAACGTGGCTCCTTATTTTTTTAATAATCTGGATTTAAGATTAATCTGCTGAGAATTCCAATGTGAGCAACTTCCCGATTAAGACTCTCGCCTGCAAGGCTTAGAGTTGGAGGGTGACCAAGAGGGTGTGGGTATCACTCTCCTAGTAAGTGGTGACTCTGCCTAAAGGGTCTGGGAGCCCTCTGCACAGGAGCGTGGCAGTCTCTGGGGTGCCTGCCAGCCTCAAATCCGAGTCGCCTGAAGAACCACAGTAATAATAAAAAGCACGTGGACAAGATGCTGCCCCTTCGCACAGGGTGTGGGGACGTGTCCCTGGTCCCTCCTGCGTCCTGAGCTTCTGGTCCATCTAACATCTGCCCTCCTGGGTGGTTACTTTCCTGCCTCTAGTCTCTGGAACCATGCCAACTTAAGCCGTCCCAACAAGCAGGACTTTTTATTTTCTTTCTTCCAAGGTTGGGGACAGTGGAAAATGTGGCCTTTTTGTGAATGGATCTTAAAAATAGTAAGTGAACAGGAGACCAGCACAACTTCCTCTTTCTGACTGCCATGTCTGGGCCTCCCGTCCCACATACAGCCTTGGGGCACCTGAGCGACAACACAATCGAGGAAACCCCACTGCCACACGCCACAGGAGTCCTCTCACTTTTATGGCATGGCGAAGGTGCCACCGCACCAGGCCAGGTACTCACTGGTCGTGCCGGGTGTCAGGGATGGCCCTGTCCATTCGCAGCTTGTCACTCTCCACCTGGTTGAACTTGTTTCGCGCATAAGGGTCCTGCCCGGAACGGACCATCGTCCCTCCAACGTAAGCTTCCTGGTTAAAGTCTGGCCACCGGACTTTCCCTGAAAAGAGAAGAGTTTTGGGATGAGGTGGAAAAGGAGACCAGAGGCTCACACAGAGACTGTGGTGAGTGTGCACTCGAGAAATACCGTCTGGGGCCGGTGCTGTGGCGTAGCAAGTAAAGCCGCCACCTACAGTGCCAGCATGCCACATGGGCGCTGGTTCGGGTCCCAGCTGCTCCACTTCTGATCCAGCTCCCTGCTAATGTGCCTGGGAAACCAGCAGAGAATGGCCCTAGTGCCTGGGGCCCGGCACCCACATGGGAGACCCAAAAGAAACTCCTGGCTCCTTTCTTCGGCATGGCCCAGCCCTGGCCGTTGCCACCGTTTGGCGAGTGAACCAGCGGATGGAAGATGCCTCTCTTTCCCTCTCTGTAACTCTTTCAAATAAATAAATAAATCTTAAAAAAAAAAAAAAAAAGGAAAAGAAAAAGAAATACTGTCCATCACCCTTCCCACCACGATAATGATAATTTTAATCATCAAACTGGCTGAAGACGGCCCATGCCAGCAACATTAGGTCTAAAAGTCCAAGAATGGAAAACAATGCTGACAGTGTGCTGAGTGGAAGCTAGGAGCCTGGAGCTCAGGGGTCTGCCCAGTGAGCGGAGTCAGACCATGGCATCGTGCACGTTTTCTGTAGATCTCTGCTTGTTGCACTTCTCCAGGGATCACGGTAATGCCAAGGAGCGTCTCCGGCAGGGTGAAGGGAAGACGCGTAACTGAAACGCAAGGCATCCTAACAGGCAACACGAAAACAGACATTTACACTGCTGGGGCTCGGACGACAATCACACCAAGGAAGGCCCCTTGGCTTATTCGTTATTTCACACTGCAAGAGCTTGGAAAGCAGCCTGTGCGGCCAGGGGCTGTCTCCGCGGCTCCCCCATCTACCTAAAGGCCAGACCCTACAGGAGATATTTAACTGTTCAAGTCCTCTCCCCAGACAGCTCGTCAGCCAGAGGAGACCGACGGGCCCAGCAGAAAAGGAGATGAGAGTCGACACACGCCCGGGGTCCAGGACGCTGCTGTTCTTTGGGCCCATTTGTCTCCTATAAAAACCGAAAAGTCTTCCTCTATAAGTGCCTTCAAGCCCAATTCCCTCTCCCCTGCAGACAGGTTACAAGCTTCCAGATCTCACTGGGTACTCACTCTTCACCCCTGTACCACTCCTGTGCACGTAACCACTTGTGTGCCTTTTCTCCTATGAATCTGTCCTCAGTCTGTTTCAGCAAACTCCATCATCAAAGCTTCCTTGGGAGAAGGTCCCTCCACCCACCCCACCCCCAGCCCCACCCCCATAGGATCTGAAACCCTCCCTTGAGATCTCCTCGGGGATTCTCCTCGCAGCTGGGCCCATGCCTGACCCCACCAGGGGGTGACCTCCACCCCAAGCAGGCAAGGCCATGACCTCACATGCAGGTCTCACCTGCTCCCTGCCTGGGAGGAAGGAGGAGAAGGAGGCCCAGCACTGACACACTGGCCCAGACTCACTGAGGAGCTGTTGCACCGGGGACCTGGGGCGGGAACAGTGTGGGCGACCCGAGTGAAAGTGCACTGCTGGGTGGGCTTAGCTTGGACGAAAAGCAGCACCAGAGAAGTGAGCAGGGGTGTGATGCTCAGACGGCAAACACTAAGGGGAAGGAGAGACGGCCCAGAGGTAGACAGGGTCTGGCAGTCTGCTGTCAGCCGCCGTTTGCTGCGTGCTTCCTGCACGAGCCCAGACGAGTGTTCAGTCTTTGAAACCGCATTCCATACAAAATGAAAGGAGAACATTTGAAAAAAAGAGATTTGTTGCCGGCGCCGCGGCTCAATAGGCTAATCCTCTGCCTTGCGGCGCCGGCACACCGGTTCTAGTCCCGGTCGGGGCGCCGGATTCTGTCCCGGTTGCCCCTCTTCCAGGCCAGCTCTCTGCTGTGGCCAGGGAGTGCAGTGGAGGATGGCCCAAGTCCTTGGGCCCTGCACCCCATGGGAGACCAGGAGAAGCACCTGGCTCCTGCCATCGGATCAGCGCGGTGCACCGGCCGCGGCAGCCATTGGAGGGTGAACCAACGGCAAAAAGGAAGACTTTTCTCTCTGTCTCTCTCACTGTCCACTCTGCCTGTCCAAAAAAAAAAAAAAAGAGAGAGAGAGAGAGAGATTTGTTTCACAAAGACTTCACGGCCCACCATATTCCGGTTCCGGGGGGCGGGGAGCCTGAAGCAAACACAACCCTGCCTGCATGAAGCTCATAAAATCTCAGCTGGTTGTTAAGTGTGATTAAAAAAAAAAAAAAGCCGGCGCCGTGGCTCAATAGGCTAATCCTCCACCTTGCGGCGCCGGCACACCGGGTTCTAGTCCCGGTCGGGGCACCGGATTCTGTCCCGGTTGCCCCTCTTCCAGGCCAGCTCTCTGCTATGGCCAGGGAGTGCAGTGGAGGATGGCCCAGGTGCTTGGGCCCTGCACCCCATGGGAGACCAGGAAAAGCACCTGGCTCCTGGCTCCTGCCATCGATCAGTGCGGTGCGCCGGCTGCAGCGGCGACCATTGGAGGGTGAACCAACGGCAAAAAGGAAGACCTTTCTCTCTCTGTCTCTCTCTCACTGTCCACTCTGCCTGTCAAAAAAAAAAAAAAAAAAAAAAAAAAAAGACTTTTCAGGGAGCAGGGGGCATTGGGGCTGTGGTTTTATCCATGGGGAGCGGGGTCTGGCAGGATGACCGCACGCAGAGACCTGAACCGTGGAGGGAGCAGACACACAGATATCTCAGAGGAACAAGGTGTGCACAGGCCTGCCCAGCCAGAGCAGGGTGAGGCAGGGTTGCCCATGGCTACGCAGAACAGGTGCGAGTGAGGGCCCACTGCTCTCTTCTGCTGCACGTTAAGATCAGCAGGACGCTTGTGCCGACAGCACTGGGTGCCTGTGTGCGTGCGTGCTGTCCCGCCCGACTCTGCTGGCGCGCCACCGAAAGGAGGTGTGCGGCTTTCTGCACTTCAGAGATGAGGAAACCCGGATTCGGTTACGTGTGGTTTGCTCGAGGCTGGAGAGTAAATTTCCTATCTGAAAGCTCATCTGCTTCTTGCTGCAATTCTCCTGCGAGGTCACAACCCCCATCTCATCACAGCTGGTTGCTGTGGAAATGATGCTCAGGGTCACGGAGGTCCAGCACATGGAACAGGGAATCAGCTCCCAAACCCCAGAGCTGGCCGCGGCAAGGATGTATCGGCCCCAATAAATACCTGGCCAGGGGAGCCAGCCACGGTGTCAGCATTTTCTCACCTCAAAATAAAATGCTTCCAAAACAATTTTTGGAAACATGCTTTCCATGCAAAGACAAACACTTGCCGATCCTCCATTGTCTCCGCATCTTCCCGACTTTATCCTCATCTATTTCCAGGGACAAGGAGAAGAACACCACCACCACCCTGTGTTAAAGAGCATGTACCCCACATTCCTCACCATACTGGGCTTATCCTCTCCTAGACTAACACAAAACAGCCTTTGAAGCCTTCGGCAAAATCTACGCCAGCAGCACCCACAGCAGCATTCAAATGAATTGGCTCTAACTTATTTAGCAGCCTGATCTTATTGTTCGCTGCACTAGGGAACTTTGAACGACAGAAAGGAAACACAGTGGAGCCCCAGGCAAAGCTAGAGAAGAAACCATCATTGGAGAGATGGACTAGCTCACGTGAGTCTGCCTGCACCCTGCTTGCTTCTCACCCCGGCATTCCATGGGCAGTGACGTTCAAGTACTTTGGTCGGTGTGCCTGAGTCTGTGAGGAGCGCAGTGGCTATGGCCAAGGCCTCTGCGGAGCTCCCGGAGCTCCAGCCCTCCTGTACCAGAAGATCCCCCATCCCTCTTTCTGGGAAAAGACACGATTACAGCAGGGGGTCTGCAAGAAGCCTAATACCTAGCAACCACGGGGCAAGTCAGAACCATGTATTCCAGATGTTGACTACGCGCTAGACGTTGTGCTGGATCCTGGAGGCACAATCAAGCAAAACCAGGGCAGATGCCCAGCACTGGGAGCTCTAGGAGGTGGGCGGAGACAGAACAAGGGTACTAACAAACACATCACTGATCCCCGAGCCAAGTGCTCTGTGGAAGCGTCTAATAAAGAGACCTTATCCAGACCAGTGTGACCAGGGAAGGCTCCATGGGAAGGAGTTTTGTTGTTGTTTTTTTAATTAAAGATTTATTTATTTATTTGAAAAGCAGAGTGAGAGAGAGAGAGAGAGAGAGAGAGAAGTCTTCCATCTGCTGGTTCATTCCATAAATGGCTGCAATGGCAGGAGCTGGGCTGATCTGAAGCCAGGAGCCAGGAGCTTCCTCTGGGTCTCCTACACGGATGCAGGAGCCCAAGAACTTGGGCCATCTTCTACTGCTTTCCCAGGCCATAGCAGAGAGCTGGATCAGAAGAGGAGTAGCCGGGACTTGAATTGGCGTGCATACAAGATGCCGGCACTGTAGCCGGCGGCGGCTTAACCTACTAAGCCACAGCATCGTTCCCACGGAAGGAGTATTGAAGCTGAGATCTGAATGATGAGTACAAGACTAGGAGAGGCTCTCTGAGACCTCCCAGAAGTGTCTTCTTTCTTCAACATCCACGAGCCCACCCACCATCACCCCTTCCCTTCACACAGACGCCCCCTTCAGGAGGACTCTGGTGGGCCCTGGCCTGCCTGTGACCATCTCCGCCAGGCACGAGACTGTCTCACTGTAAATGATATTCCCTTTTTGAAAGCTTAGCAGTATGTTAGACCACAGCAGGGGCGTTCCCGTCTCCCTGGCTGTGGCACATATTTTATATCGAGAGCCAGATGTCCCAACTCAAACACACGTGCACATGCCCAGACATGGAAGTCTCACAGTACAATGCTCTCCTTCACAATATGGGATGAACAGGCACATTCTTCTTTTATGTGAGTGCGGCGCATGAAATTGACTTCACAATCTAATAATGGAGCACAACCCATCATTTGAAAAACACTGGGCTAAAGAACCATTACAGAAATTGGTTAT